GGGGGGGGCGGATTATAGACACAGGTTGAAATGCAAAGTGATAGGTGCTTAATAGGGGATGGATCAGAGTTCTGTGTAAACACAGAGGAGGAAATGAGAAATTATTTGGGGAAGGCTTCACAAAGGACTTGACATTCAAGCTGGATGTTCAAAGGTCTGCAGGAGGAGGTCAGGTGGAGGAAGAAGGATATTCTAAGCCCACAGAGCAGCACATAGCAGCAGCTAGCCTCCAATATGGCCTCCAGGATGGCCCCAATGACTACCTCCTGGCAGTCATGCTCTTGTATAAGCCTCCCATTATACATTGGGACATTGAATAGTTCTGACCTGTAAAACCAGTAGGATGTTGTGAAAATGACCGTGTGTCCTTCTGAGGATATATCATAGATCTTGTGGCTCCCTCTTGGATCTCTTGCTCTGGAGGAAGTCAGCCACCATGCCAAGAGGACGCTCAAGAGGGCTTCTGGAGAGTGCCAAGCCGTGGGGAACTGAAACCTCTTCCCAGCCTATCAGCATAAGAATGCCAGCATCAACTTGTCAGCAGTGCAAGGAAGCCACTGTGGAAGCCAGTCCCCAAGCCTCATCAAGCCTTCAGATGATAGCAGCCCTGTCCAACATCTGACTGCAGTCTCACGAAAGCTGGAGCCAAAACCGCCCACGAAGCCACTCTCCATTTCCTGACCAAAATCACCCAAAAGCCAAACACCAGTGTGAGAAAATATATATTTATTATTGTTTTAAACCAGTAAGTTTTGAAATAATTTGTTACACAGAATGAAATAACGAGTAACGCTCAAAGCATGACAAAATCTGGCGTGCGGTGGAAATGGTGGCAGGAAAGGCCACAGACAGAAACTCCCAAATTCAAAGGCAGCTCTGAAACCCCAAGGTTTATGTAAGAGTGGGTGAGGGAGCCATCTGGTGGAGGTAAGCTGCTTAGACATTCTCTTCTCTCCCCACTCCTATTTTCCAGCTTGTTCTACCCAGCATTTCCCACTAGTATTTCTCCAAGGGCCACAGTGAGGTTTATGAGTCAATCATGTGGGTCATACACACTGTCGCTTAGAGATGCAAAGACTAACATCTGGAAAATGTCAAGTTATTACTTATCTTCTTTTACTAGTTTGTTCTCCTTCAGTCTCTTTCACTTATCAGTGGTACTAGGATTTGGAGCAAAGAATGAAGACTCAGAATGTTGGAGAAGGGAAACAAGGAACTGGGAGAACTTCATTATACTAAATTCAGAGGTAGATTCCCAAAAGCAGAATCCAGCTGACCAGTCTCTAATTACCAAGGGAATCTTTGTTCATCGATATTGGCCATGACTGTTGTCCCTTTCTGGCCTTCAGAGCCTTCTTGTATCCTCCAGTGTTCCCCCAGAATAATGCCTAGTTCTTAAATAATATCTCTCAATTGCAGAGCTGCCAGAAGAGAGAACCAATTATACTACTAGCCACAGCCAGTGTGAGACCAGTGATCCAGGCCCACTCAAGGAGGAGCTGCAAAGACACTAAAATTTACCTTCGGAGTAAATCACTGATGGTGAAATTTCAGGTAGTTAAGATATTAAAGAAAAAAAAAAATCTTCCTACACTTCCCCTGGACTCACCCTAAAGGAGCAGAGGCAGAGTGCAGCCGACAAGCCTGACCTAGACACAAAGCCTCCTCTGATAAGGGAGAGGATTTCTGAATATAGCTTGGTCCGGGCGGTGATTTCGAATCTGTTCACATTCTAGCTGTTTGGAAGGGAAAGTGATAGTTTCCAATTGGGGCAATCAAGGAAGGGGTACAGACATTTGACTCCTGCTTATACGGATCGGTTCGATTTGTACGAGAGTGGCGAGATGCGTGACCCTGAAGCACGTGCTCCCACCGATCTGCGGTATTTTGCGAATCCTGATCACTCAGGGACCCAGCTGAGCGTGGGCGAGGCTGAGGGAGGAAAGACGCGCAGGCACAGGGCTGAGGTGGGCGCTCACCTGTGCTAGAGTGGGCGGAGCTAAACGCAGCAGCGGGGGCCGGAGGCGGGGCGGGCGCGATGACGTCACGGGCACGCCGCCGCTGAGCAATTCGCGTCCCGGAAGCGGCGGCGGCGGGGTAGGCGGAGGAGGCTCTCCGATTTGCGACTTCTGAGGCCCTTGGAAGAGGCTTGTCGTCGGGGTGGGGCGGGCCTGAGGAAACGCTCCTGGGCCCAGTGGCCCTTCCAGTGCTCCCTGGCCGTCCCCGCCCCTCCTCTACCAACCCAGCGACCGGGCAGGTGAGGTGCCACCCCTCCCCATCCCCTTGTCTCTGCCAAGGGCACGGAGTTGGGCTCCTGGACGCCGCAGGGGCCGTCACCTGCGGCCTAGCGGCTTTGGGCGTGGCCTTCCCTGGTCTGGGCCGAAAGGCCCCATCAGATTCCCTGGGCTGCGGTGGTGGTAGTCCAGGCCTCTGCCTGCGCTGACCGGCTCCCCGCCCACACGGGCTCTTACCGCGCCCACCCCGGGTCCTTTTATCCGATCTCCTTCCGCGGACATCTCGGGCTCCCAGTGTCCTCTTTGTCACATCCCCACCCCCTTCAGGTCGCAGTCCCCTGCGTGGTTATGTTGCTGTGCTCCGAGGTTTTGATCACTTGTTTTCTGCTTAGCATTTGGGGTAGGACTTTGAAATTAGGAAAGAGGGTGAGGGTTCCTGCGGTTCTCCCCATCGGAGAGGGGAGATGGGAACGGGGCCTTATGGAAGGAGGTGACTGCCTCTCCGGGTTCAAGGGAAAAGGGAGGGTAATGGGCAGGAATGGTACAGGAAGTGGTTGGGAACAGAAGGGAGAAGAAAGGGTTAGAAGATGTGACAGGGCAGAGAAAGCACTGGAGTCCTGGAGGATGGGCAGTTCATTCACTCATTCAGTTCATTCACTAATTCACTGATCATAAATTAACCGTCCACTATGTGCAGAAGTAGTGGTAAATGGAAGACATAGTTTTTGACTTGGTGGAACTCCTACTAAAGTTAAGAAGTGTAGACCGGCAAGAAAGCAGGGAGTTTTACTTTGGTGTGATAAATACTGTTAGGGCAAGTTCATGATCCTTTAGGATCATTGGGGATGGGCGCCCATTCCAGACTGACGGTGTTGCAATGTTTCAGCCAATACCTGAAGTATGGTAGGAATTAACCAGGTAAAGAGTGGGTGAAAAATATTCCAGGTCATCATTTCTTTTTAGACAACAGACTGCCTCTTCCCAGCAACCATGTGTTCTTGGTCTTTATGGTTTATACTCTTGATGGATCTGTGGGGAAAAGACATTAGATGGAGAGTCAGATGAGCCGGGTTTTATATCTGGGTAATTCGGTTCACCCTGCTGAATGGTGTTTCCTCTCTGTGAAACGGGTATTCCATCTGTAACCCTTGCTACTTTACAGGTTTATTCTGTAATAAACCTCATGCACCACATGAGATAGTGTGTTGGGATTGGAAGTGCAATGCAAATGTCAGGAATTATTATGGTTACAGGATGCAGACATCAGAGCGTGAGGGGAGTGGGCCAGAGGTAAGCCCCAGCGTGATGCCTGAGGCTCCCCTGGAGTCTCCACCTGCCCCTACCAAGTCCCCGGCGTTTGATCTTTTCAACTTGGTTCTGTCCTACAAGAGGCTGGAGATCTACCTGGAACCCCTAAAGGATGCAGGTGACGGTGTCCGATACTTGCTCAGGTAATAGACTTTGTAGAATTGCTCTGATTGCTCTGACCATCTGGGCCTTCTGCTTTCCTGCTCCATAGTTGTGCTAGCCATTTAGGCAGTGGCCGGGCTGTCCTTTCTGCCCTAGTGAAGAGCAGTTCTGGGAGGTCCATTGGTTCCCCGGGCTTATTCCAGGCCCACCCCTGGAGAGGCAGGCCCTGGAAACCATATGGCCTTTCATCAGAGTTTCTTTGTGGTTCAGTAAGATCATACCTCAGGACTGCTAACTAGCCTTGAACATCGGGCCTTCTAAATCTTTAAAGCGGGTTTGTTTGTTTTTTTCCCTTTCTCAGTATCAGCATAATTAATATTAGAATTAGAATATAATTTTGAACAGAAGTTAAATGTAAATACCTATGAATTAGCAGGTACCGTTTTCACTAACCTTTTTTTTCAATAATCTTTTGGGATTATGGATCTCAAAATTTTTTGTTCTTATTTTGCTTTGATTTTCATTCTCAATAATTTTATTTTTTCCCTTTTCAACTCACTTTCTTATCTTAAAGAATTTTAATTACAGATATGTACTATTTCACTTCATAAATATGTCAGTTTATTTCTAAGTAATAAGGACATTTAAAAAAAATGTTTTATTTATTTTTCAGAGCGAGAGTGCAAGCGAGGGAGGGGCCCAGGGGGAGGGAGACAGAGGATGAGCGGTGCTTACCGCAGTGAGCCTGACATGGGGGCTCCAACCCACAAACCGCAAGATCATGTCCTGAGCTGATGTCAGATGCTCATCTGACTGAGCCACCCTGGTGCCCCCTGGACATTAAAAAAAATCTTTTTTAACGTTTATGTATTTTTGAGAGAGAGAGAGTGCGAACTGGAAAGAGGCAGAGAGAGGGAGACACAGAATCTGAAGCACGCTCCAGGCTCTGAGCTGTCAGCATAGAGCCCAATGTGGGGCTCGAACTCATGAACTGTGAGATCATGACCTGAGCCGAAGTTGGATGCTCAACCCACTGAGCCACCCAGGTGCCTTCGGACATTTTTTTTTTTTTAATAAGAAAAAGCAACACCACACCTAACAAAGTTAACAATAATTCCCTGATATCATTTTATATTCAGTTCACATTCAGATTTCCTCAGTTGTCGCAGGAATGTCATGTTTTGGCCAAATCAGATTCCAATCCAGGACTGTGCATTCTATGTGGTTATTGTGTCCCTTAAGTCTCTTTCAATCTAAAATGGTTTCTTTTTCATGATACTGACTTGCTGGAGACTGAGCTGACTGTCCTGGAGAATTTCCTACTTAGATTTTTCTGGTTGCTTCCTCATGGTGCAAATTGGAAGTTAGATTTAAAGGCTGGATCAGATTCAAGTGAAACCCCAAAGGTTATGTATTGCTAATATTGGGAGCCACATAAAATCTGGTTGTCCTACACAGCCCCTACATAACCTGGGGCCTGAGTGGGACTTTATGGGGTCACTGAATCTCTTGAAACCATATATATATCTTTGTGCACACATGTGTATTTCTAAGGAAGAAGCTTCTAATTTTAATCAGATTCTCATACAGATCTCTAATCCTCTAAGATGCCTGAGAGAGACAGGTAGGAGGCAGGGTTAGTGCAGTTGGGTTAATCTCTAAGAGTGCCGTTGAGTATTCATTCTTACCTCAATCTGGAAGTAGTGGGGGAGGTTTGTTTTTTAATTTTAGAGAGAGAGCGAGAGAACATATTTGTTGGGGGAGGGGGCAGAGGGAGAGAGAGACAGAGAGAGAGAGAGAGAGAGGGAGAGAGAGAGAATCCCAAGCAGGCTCCACGCTCAGCACAGAGTCTGATGTGGGGCTCGCTCTCACAACCCTGCAGTCATGACCTGTGCCAGAACCAAATGTCAGATAGTTAACTGACTGTGCCACCCAGGCACCCTGCAAGGTTTGTTTTTAACTCTTTGAACAAGGCCCCCTAAATTTTTCTTGTTCACCCCAGAACCCCCTTAATTTATGGCATTAACCCTAGAGATGAGCTAGTTTGTGTTCCAGAGGAATGTTCTCTATTAGATCACTGTACTCTTGTCACGAGAGATAGGGGAGAATGGACTAGGGGCTTGTTTTATAATCCCACCACGATTGTCCAGCTGAAATGAATTTTAGTCTTCCTTAGGGCAGGGGGTGGGCCCTGGTGTTTTCTGTGCACACATGCAAGCATGTGTGTGTATGTGTATGTGTTTTACCCTTCTGTGGCAAAGTGCAAAAGTAACTATATCCTGTCCTCCTTTTCTACCACTGGTCTCTTAGTGCTTCTTGGAACTCGTGTTAGGGTTTTTCCATTTTATGAAATTAGAAATCTGAGGATGTGATGGGATTGATTAAAGCTGGATGGGGGGGGGGAGCAGCATTTGGTCTAAAAAGCCCCCAGGAGCTTGTCTTCTGTGCCAGGGGAAGACAGAGCACTGGTCTGTGAAAATGGCTGTCAGATTAATTTGTGCTTTTGATTGTTCTTTTCTTAGTAAAGAGGATTTGACTTTCAAGAGGGACCTAATCTTGAGCTTTGTCTGTTACGTCTGAAGCCTAGAGCTGCGTTAGATTTTTAAAAGACTCCTCTTCTGGGATCAGCTACTCTAGTGGGTGGGTCTCCATGACCAAAGTGTCAGTGAAGATATGAGACAGAATGGGAGAGGCTTTACAATGAAAGTGACTTTAGTGACTGTATGATGTTTTTATTTCTGAAATGAGATCGGCCTTAGACCTGATTTTTAATTTGCTTTTACGCTGGTACCTGCCGCTGGATGGTTCTGAGGCCTAATTAGGATGGTATAGAGGGAGTATGCTGAATTTTTAGAGAAAGGTCGAGAAAGGTCATTTTATTCCCTTACTCAAAGTAAAAACAGCACATAAGTTAATGAATCTCATTTAGCAACTGAAATACCTCAATCACAGCGAAAGAAAATACATTGGAGTTCTGAATATGTTGCTTACCAGCAACTTACCTGTTTATTTTTCTTTGACTCTTCCCCTGATGGCTGACCTTAGAAATGCTATACTGGCTCTTTCGAATATGGGTGTCAGGCTTCACTGCCACATCTCTGCTCCTTTTTCCCTGTTAAATGTCCTTTATGAGGGGCGGAGCCAGCAGCCTTTGCTGGTCTTTGTCAGCTCGAGCCTCTGGTCTTCTTTCTTTCCTCTTTGGGGGCTTGTGCACTGCTCTTTGGTGGTGGTGGTGGGCTGGGCCTGCGTGGGCCCCCAGCGCTGCTGGTTCATTTAGGGCGTAGCTGCTGAAAGGATGCTGTGTGCTGGTTTCAAGTTCGGTTTTGATAGATTAAAACGAAACATCATTTTTTCTCCTTATTTATTTATTTTTTATTTTTATGTCTCGAGAGAGGGAGAGCATGCGATCTCACTCGAGTCGGGGAGGCGCAGAGGGGGAGAGGGAATCTTAAGTAGGTGCCATGCCCAGCAGGGAGCTCATGACAATGAGATCATGATCTGAGCTGAAACCGAGAGTCAGACACTTCACTGACTGAGCCACCCGGGCGCCCTGACTTATTTTTATTTTTTGAGAGAGCGCAAGCACGCACTCTCGTGCAAGCCAGAGAGAGGCACAGGGAGAGAGAGAATCTTAAGCAGGCTCAGTGTCCAGTGTGGAGCCTGACCCAGCGCTCCGTCTCACGGCCGTGAGATCATGACTTGGGTCGAAGTCAAGAGTTGGACCCTTAACTAACTGAGCCACCCAGGCACACCCCTATTTTTTCTCCTTTTGAATTAACATATGTTAAAATAAATTCACAAAATTTGAGAAATAAGAAAGTCACAACTGGGGTCACAGAAATCCTTCATGTTTTGTCCTCTTGATTTCTGTATTAGATGAATTTTGCACAGTGAATATATGGTTCATGTATTTTTCTAAGGGAAAATTTTAAAGAAGAAAGTTTGTCATTGTCACCTCTTAAAGGGACCAGAACCTTATAAAACACAGGTTAAACAGTATTAACTGGGTTTCTCAATGGATATTTTATAAATTCTTCTTCTGGGAGAAAGTTCCATAGGTATTCTAGTTCTGACAGGATACCTTTTCTCATCGCAGGGCCTAATGTGTGACCTTAACTCCCCCAGGCGCCTGTCCACATGAGGGACTCACTTTTCATTTCTCCTTGACACTGTGAGCTCCAGGCCCCCTCCTCTTGCTCCTGGTTTTGATGACCCACCCGTGGTAGCCATCTCCCCTTCCCACTGGAGGAGTGGCCGTCTTTGGTGACCAGGCCTTTCTTGTGTTGTAGGTGGCAGACACCTTTGTGTTCCTTGCTGACCTGCCTGGGCCTCAACATCTTGTTCCTCACTTTGAATGAAGGTAAGAATTGCTTCCAGGGGCCAGGGGGTTTTTGTGAATGAATGTGGGAAAGAATTTCAAGAAGTGGCTGCCTGTCTTGCCCTGGAGGTGGCTTCCTTTCATGTCTGCTTGATGTCAGAAAACTGGCTCTGGAGAGACACTCTGGGCTAGAATCCTGGCTGGGTGGTTTGGAAGACTTTGGGCAAGTTCTTGAATCTGTTTGTTAAGGCCTAATTTTCCTCATCTCTAACAGGAGGGTGCTTTCCTCCGAGGGTGGTTGTGCGGAGTGAGACAGTCTATGTATAATGTTTAGCACAGTGTCTGACACAGAGTAAGCAGCCGATGTATGATAGCTATTATTATTATTATTTTTCTTTCCTTCTTGACTGAATGCTGGTGGATTGACCTTTTTCCATTTTGACTTTCAAGCTGATTCTGGGGTCATTGGGGCATGACATGGGGTCAGCGTACCAGAAAGGTGAATAGATTTTTGTAGAGATTTTTGCCATATCTCTGGATTTTCTCAGGCTCAGCAAGTGAGCCTGGAGGGGGGCTGCTGGCTGCTGGGAAGTCACCAGCAATGAGGGGTCTGTGGTGTGGAGCCTTTGAGGGAGACGGGTGGACAGGTGGGTGGCTCTAGGGGTCTTGGGTAGTGATGTCTCCTGGGGACCTTTTGTGATGAGATATACCAGGACCCAGCCATTTTCCTGTTTGGAACTGGCAGATGGCTGCAGAAAAAGCTGAATCCCTAGGGTGAATGTGTGAAGGGCCTGGGACAGAATGTTCTGAGGAGCTGGGACCTTTATTCACATTTTCACTCTTCTTTCGAACTTGCATTTCTCAAGTTTCTCCTTTGTTTCCTATGGAGATATGGATTTGATGGGTTGAAAATAAACCCAGTTCACAGAAGACCTCGTTTTTTGTTTCTTAGTAGGACTCTTTGCCTGTTCTAAACTCAGATATCCTTCTCAGGCTGTTAAGATTTTTCTTAACATATTTCCAAAGTAAATCATATGACAGATACTTAACAAGCATTTACTCTGTGCTCAGTGCTCTGTTAGCTTGCTTTGGGGGTACCATACTGCATGGACCAAGTTTCTTCTTTGGATTTTCTCTCAGCATTCCCTTTTCTTAGTCCACAGTGGTCTGGTCTGTGGTATTCCAAAAGCCAAAAGAAAGACTTCTAATCTGTCCCAGTGGCCCAGAGGTCAACACGTCAGTCACGGGGTGCTCCAGTGGCCAGACTCCAGGCATGAGCCACCTACTGTGTGCTAGCATGAGTTTTTTAATATTAAAAAAAAAAAAATGGGTCTGGGGCTATAGTGACCAAGCAAATGAAGTCTCAGCCCTCAAGAGCCTATATTGTGAAGGAGACAACTATACATATCGTCAGTTGTGTGGCTATAGGAATCCTATTGGAGGGCGATAGGAATTCTACGAGGAAGACTAAAGCTGAGTTAAAGGGCTGGAGAGGGAGCAGGCCAGATACCGTGTCATGCGAGGTGATCAGGGAAGGCCTTCTGGACGGAGCCCTGGAGGAGGTGAGGGAGCTAACACGTGGGCATCTGGTGGGCAGAGGCTGCCGGTCCTCGCTACCCGTTCACCTGCAGTATCGTCGATCCCATAGGTGCGTGGTACTCGGTGGGTGCCCTGATGATTTCAGTGCCCGCCCTCCTGGGCTACCTTCAGGAGGTCTGCCGGGCACGGCTGCCTGAGTCTGAGTTGATGCGGAGGAAGTATCACAGTGTGAGGCAGGAGGACCTCCAGAGAGTTCGCCTGTCTCGCCCCGAGGCTGTGGCTGAGGTGAAGAGCTTGTGAGTATGAAAGGGGCTGGGGAGGTGGGAGGCAGTCACGACTGCCGCACTGAGTAGTTGCTCTGTGCCGGGCATTGTGTTAGGCAAACCACAGATGTTATTTCCTTTCGTCTTTCCACCAGTTCTGGGAGGTAGCTGCTATTATTATCTTCCATTTATGGTTGAGGAAAGAGGCACACACAGCTAAAAGGGGACCATGGTGGGACGAGAATCCAGATCTAGCTGATTTCACAACAATTTGTGTTCTTTCCACCAGAGACCCAATTTAGGGTCTTGACTAAGCATGTGCGCACAGGAGCCAGGGTTCAAATGCCAGCTCTTCCCTTTACTTGCTGTGTGACGTCGGGCAAGCTGCCCAGCCTCCCTGTGCCTCGGGTTCTTCATCCGTTAAATGGGATAGTAATAGACTTACCTCATAGGTGGGTGTGGAGAGTAAATGAGTGTCTGGTACCCAGGAAGTGTTCAGTAAATACCAGTCACCATCACTGTGCTGTTGAGAGGCTTCCTAAATGTGAGAGAGCTGGTACTTCTGAAGAAGCACCTTACGACTGGTGAATAACAGTAACCACAGCATCTGCAAAGCTGCAGACAAGAGTTACAAACAGACGGAGCCTGGGCCTGGCCTGAGTCAGTTATCTGGAGTGGGTCTGGGTATCTGTGTTTTTTTTTTTTTTTT